CGTGACTCGGCGTTTTTTCTTGTAACCAGTGGTTTTCGATAAATCCATGGTGGAAGGTTTCAAATGTACACCCTTTATATTACATTATTGTGAATAAATTATTATTATATTAACCAAAATTTAATTTTTTCTGGGTATATCAAATTAGCTCAAAGAGCCTAAAAATCATCTAGATAGCCGGTTGAGGGCTTCGTATCCATCATATCTCGTCTGGACTATAACGTGACCCCAGAACAAGCTAGAAGCTAGATTTGCCGAAGGGACGCGATGCTTTGCCTGCAGGCCGAGCCACAAGTAGGTCACCAAGATATTGGCGGGATTGTCGCGCTCACCCACCGCATTATTATTACCACCCGAGCTAAGGCGAACATCCACGGACGGAGAGCCTCTTTTGTTCTAAGCACTCCTGATTGCTTTATTCGCTTCAGAAAAAAGAGGTTTAGAATCCAGGGAATACGGTCAAGGCATATAAGGACTTGCTACATGATATTGAGGTTTTGGTTTGAGCTGTTGAGGAACATACGTGGAAGGACATGTGAATATTGTTTTACAGAAGCTGACGAATCACCAACAGGGTGACATCAGGGAATAGAGCTTTCTACATAATATTACAAAAGAGGACGCTCTTTAACGAATCCACGTGCATGTAGCCCCAAAATTGAGTAAACAATTCTTCGGACTTCGATAGAATTTTGATAAAAAATGAAACTATTTTTTTCAATGTATGTGTTTGCGAAATGTTGGGGAATCTCGAAACTGGAGATACTACATACCAAAATATGAGAATTGACCTAAACATATCCCAGTCCAAAAGTTGATAGCTTGCGAGGTACAGGGTGTCAAAGTTACAATTTTACTTTCTATTTTTCCTTATTGCTTGAGAAGTGTTTCAGATTTTGGCATAAAACTCGTCATAGGGAGGTTTTCTAGTATGAGAAACAAGAGTCCGTTATTTTTATGGCCAATGCTAGAGGGCGCCACTTGCTGCACTATTTCGGTAAATAACTTATCATAACTTTTTTGTGCTACCCTGTATACAAGAAGTGATCGAAGAATCTTATTTTCTCGTATTTTCACAGCAAAAAAGGTTTACTTGTTAGCAGTGTCCACAGCTAATAGTTTTCGAGAAATTTGTTTTCAAAGGTCCCAATGCATTATTTGTACCATGACGATAGGACATATTTATAACATAATAATCAAGTTGCTTTGGATTTTATCTAAGTATGAACTTAGTACACGATTTGACCAGAAAAGGCATTTATAGGAACCTTCTCCTGGCCAAGTTGAAGGTCAGATCAAGGTCAGTTCCAGACGAGAAGTACGCGGAGTAATCAGGTATCTGGCACCTAACTACCTTCGAGTCCGAATCTGTCAGTTCATTTTAAAGATGTTTTGAAGGCATTTCGCGCTTGGACGTTCCAATTGCTCTTCAGAGCTCTCTTCCATCATGCCGCTGCTCGCCTCCCATCCTAACTTATTTTAACTTCATACATCCAGCACTGGCCAGTGTGACCATTGTGTTGTTGCTAGAGCATAAAGTTGGTGAAACAATCTATCTGAGGAGGCTTTTCTCATTTCTGATAACCTTAGTTCAAAATAATAAGGGCACCTGGTGGCCCGATATTTATATTATAAAAAAAACTAATGGACAAATAGTGTGTCCTTCCATCACAATGCGATCCATGATTAAATTCTAAGGACTGATTTTATGGCGGGAATCAAAACTTGCGGTTAGGGCACAAGTTCAACCAATCATAAGGCCCTTTTCAAAAGTCACGAATCTAATTTATATGGTAGATTTATTGTAGAATATCTTTCAAGCTAAGGGAGAATATTATACAATTGTGTCAGATGGGCCTATAATTTCCATATGAAGTCATGAAATTTCTCATCAATCACTTCGTTTGGCTGCAAAAACCTATTTGAGAATTTGCGACTATTGCATAAACTCCATCAATAGAAAACAAATTCCATATTTACCTTGTGAATAATATAAATAAATTAAAAAAGGAGTATCTGGAAAAAGGGAATATCAGTTGTGAGCTAGGTGGACCCATAAAAAATTCCTCAATTAACTTCAATTTTGAACATTCTTTTCTCTGTGAGAACATAATGAAAGACAGAACAGTTTGGCCTTGAGATGGTAAAGCGTTTGAGACCCAACATATCGTCGCCTTTCTCACGAAGTGTTCTAACTGACAAAATACCAAAAATTGAGATAACCCGCATATAGGTGTATTATTCCATGCTGGTTAATCTGACGAAGAAGCATAACTATATATCTACTAGTGTGGGCAACACACCGTTAGCCCCTGGGTGTCTTATCTGCAAAGGTAAATTTATGATTCCCACGAAGAGACCTAAATGAAGATAAGTCCCTTAGTGTCCAATAATCCTTGTTAGTATATGCTCCTCGGTGGTGGAATCATGGCCAAAGTGAGGGAGAATCTGCTCACAGTGCATTCTTACGGCGATAACGGGAATTGGAGATCTTTTTGAACCCTGATAACTCTATCCGGTTTTTTGATTCGCCAGAAAACGTCAACCTTATTTAGTAATTCCCAATGAATTTTTTGACTTCAAGAAACTTTCAAAAGATTTAAGAATATTGTCCACACGGCAAGCTGAGGAGGGGCAAAATATTAAACGGAGTTCATTGTAATAAAAGACACGCCCACCAAAATATTTTTTAAGTCTAGCCACCACGATACTAGTTATGACAGTATTGAGTTAAAAAGGCTGATGAAAAATAGTAATAATATAAATGATATTAAACTAGAACAACTTAAAAATAACAAAAAAGAAGTACCCCGACTTAATTTCGTTATGTAAAATTCGAAAAACGCCAGTTAGTTGTACGCTTACCAGAATTCCAAAACTTTTACAAAATTTGGCCCATGAAACGGAATGAATTTTTGATAATTTTGCCTTTTTTTGTTTATCACAACACATCAACATTTGCTGGTAATATGTCAAAATATAATATTTAAGTCAGTTGCTTTTCTTTTAGTTTTTATTTCAATAAAAATTGGTTTGACGTTTCGAGTTGTTTTCTTCATCTAATCACGTAATATTTTTGTCATAATCTACATCAATTTTAGGCATGGACATTGAGGAAAATATTTTAGGGGGTAGCCAAACTTCAAAAGTCGATCTGAACTTTTTTACATAAACTTTGCTGTCAGCAGACCAACGATTACTTAAAAAATTTAACAATCAACAAATTTTCTGAGATAATCGCCCCCTTGGCTGGAAATATGATTCTTTGCTTATAAGTAAATGAAACAAATTCTGTATGTCTTAAAAAATTATAATAACAAGAACTTCAATGAAAATATATTTTAGCTCTGTCTGACAAAAATCTTCTAAAAATTCTCACGAAGTGACCTACGTGCGTTTTCCATTTTTTTCCAAAATAGCTTGATAAGCTACCGCAAATATTGAAACGACATATGATTCACAATGAATATAGGCTAATACACGTGAATTTTCAATTCGGAAATATCTAAACTTTACATACAATGCTCAATCAACAACACGCTGATTTCGTTTTCTTGCCCTCCTGTAAAATTCACTAACCGTTGGTTAGGACACTTCGTGAGAAAGCCGACGATATGTTCTGCTTTTTTCTGATATTATTTTTTCACAGAGGAAATAACATGGTTCCCTTTAGATGTTGAAGTAGTATTTCTCGCGTTTCAGATGCAAGATAACGCACTTTCAACATTCTAGTCGAAGATTGCATAACATTTGACCGATTTGTTGCGACAACCTTTGTGATTGAAACGTTTACTACAGCAAAGGTCTATGAATCCCTGTAGTTGTATTGGCCGGACAAGTCGTCGCTGGAAAGACAAAGGGTCGTAGGTCGGAAATGCCCACCAGAAATCTCTAAAAGTGGATATCTATAACATGACGAAGTGGCGTATCTCTTCTCCTTATAGTTAACGTAATATGGCAAATCAGTATGTGGACGGATCCCCTATTCTTACTAGTGCTAGCAGGACAAACAGGCGTACAGGTATATTGCATCTCCTGTAAAATAGCTGAATTGGAGTTACGCCTCTTTGTCTTTCCAGCGACGAAATATGCAAGATTTTATCGTCATATAGACCACAGGATTGGTTTCAGACGTTACGGCAATGCAGCATGTTTCCACAAACGAATAGAAAAAATTAAATAAACTATTTAATGTTGTGAATACTGTCTGAGGCTATTTATGCAACAACTGATAGTATTGTATTAGCTGCGTTTCTAGGCTATATTGATCACCTGATGCAAAAATAATAAAAAACGAATTGTTGACATACGGCACAATTTGGACATCTGATTGTTTTGTAATGGTAGCTAGATCGAATAAACGAAATAGAATATGTTATTAATATACAAGTTAATATTCGCGTAGTTAATTACTTTTTGATGTACTTTTATTAAAATGAGAGGTATTGGTACAAGCTGCAGTAATTACAATTTTACATTTTACCTCCACTGAAATTGAGGTACGTGAATTACAAACAAAATAAAATTGAAAATAATTCGAAACACAAATAACTAATGGGTACTGAAAGCATTTTGCAATTAGGAATGTTCATCAAATGCCGAAATGTTGTAGTTTTTCCTCATGATTATGAAGCACAAGTTCGACATTTTGTTTTCGATGCAACCTTTGAAAAAATTTGTTGATAACGGGCAAACAGGGCGTTATTTCACGGATATTGTGCGAACAGTTTCTCCAACTATCTCAGTAATCCAGCACACCTCAGTGTGCTTCAGCAAAAACGCCGTATTTTTTTTTTATTGGGCTATCCAGCTTCTCCTTATAGTTGACACGTTCTGATGAAATAATTATAAGTGTGGAAAATGATTTGAGTTGACAATATCTTTCTCATTTTGAACTTGTTCATTGAGAAATGCTGGTGAGGTTACTGAAATGCCAGTGGAGTAATTTCTTCAAAATCTGTGGTCTTACTTGTACATACAACTAAAGCATCAGTCTCATCATGTTAAAATTGGCTCACAAAGTGTCTCGTCTCCAGAGGGAACGTAAACGACGCGCACCTTCACCGGAACGTGACAGATGAAGGTATTTCTCAACAGATAATGCGGTCTGCTTTGGACCTTGTAAACTATGATACTTCTGCTTCAGCATGTAAGTTTTCCACTGATTGTTTCTGTATTGCACAACGTGCACAATGACAAAAAAAAATAAGATAGCTACCAACGAGTTTTGGTACACACAACTGACGTGGCCTGTAGAAGTACCCCTTTCATTCAGTATTCTGGGTACTACCGACGAGTTTCGGCAAATGTGTTGTCAACGAGTTTTGACAAACACGACTATTTTACCACACCGCTAACGAGTTTTGGCAAAGTATAAGGCATCACGATTACTTTATTCTATTGTCAACGAGTTTTGACAAATTGTAAGGGCAGATACAGTGTGTTGTAATTTATTTCATTCATTGCAGCAGAGGACGGAGTTGCCGAGCGCAATGCTGCCGTCTCTACCGAAATTCCTGCGCTCTTGAAGAGAAACATTGTTGCCACTTCCGACGAGTTTCGGGCACCTTTGGGAAAAGGCAATGTTGCCGAGCGCGGTGTTGCCATTTCTGATGAAATTCTGGCGCTCTTGGGGAAAAACAATCTTGCCGATCAGACTTCTACAAATGATCTGAATAATGAGCTTGCACAAATTTGGACTAAAATATTACAGGAAGGTCTGTCTCTCGAGGTGCTAACCACTATATTGAGCAAGTATTCTCCGCTCAGTAATCTCAGCATCGCTACTGCTCCCGAACTCAATTTGGAGATCTTATCGGCTCTTACGGAACAGCACAAACAGCTATATCTACGACTCGCTAAGCGTCAAGACCAGATGGGAGCCGCTCTGGTGGCAATTGGCAAAGCACTGACAATCCTCTTGGAAAAAGTGGAGAGGGCACATATAAGAGTGTCGGTTGAATGGCTCAGTGATGCAGGGCGCTTAATTTCGGATATTCACCATCAAGAGTCTACCTGTAGAAGAAATCTTGTCTCGGTGGATGTAGACAAGCAGCTTCGAGGTACTCTAACTAACATAACTGTGACGCTTGGACAAAATTTTGGTGATCGGTTGAAAGCAGCTCGTGAAATGAAGAAATATCGTCAAGCCTCAAGCCTAAATCAGTTACTGCCAGATCTACCGCTTCGGTAAATTTCAAGAGTCTGTCTCGATCAAATGTCAAGGGGTATCGAGGCAGACCCAAGTATTTCCGGAAAACTCAGAGCCTGGAGGTACAAAAATACTCGGAAGATATCTGGCTCAACCAAAGAAAATCGTCCAATTTATCGAACCAACTTAGCCCAGGCCTATCCAACACGGACCAGTTAGAGGTAATCTATAAATGTGAAAGGTTAAAATACTTTTCACGGTCCTGGAAATCACTAACTTCAGATAAATTGCTGCTATCATGGGTCAAGGTTATCTAGTCCCGTTTTACCAAACACCGTTTTAGAAATCTGCCCCTAAGGAACTGAAATGGTATTTAACAGAACAAAGATTTTTAGATGTTAAAATTAAGCATCTTTTGTCGCTGGACGCCGTAAGGAAATGCTCTTTTAAACAAGGTCAATTTCTCTAAAATATTGTTTTAACACCCAAACATGACGGTTCGTACAGATTAATTTTAAATCTGAAAGATTTAAACAAGTTCATTATGACAGAACATTTTAAGATGGAGGATCATAAAACGCTGACAAGATTACTGCAGGACAACATGTTTCTGGCATCCTTGGATCTCAAGGATGCCTACCACCTAATCAAAATACATAAACACCATGGTAGATATGCAAGATTTGTTTTCTCTGGGCAAATGTTTGATTATACCTGCTCACCTTTCGGCCTTAACACAGCACCTTATGTGTTTACAAAATTGTCAGTTCTATCCCACTTACGACAACAAGATTTTTTGTCAGTATTGTACATTGACAAAAAAAGTTTTGTTAGATTTAGGCTTTCTGATCAATTCAAAGATGAGTATGACTGTCCCATGCATACGAATAAGATATTTAGGTTTCTTATATAACTCCATAGGCATCACTGTAAGCAAAAACCATGTCAAAACATATTCACAAACTTGTGAGCAATATTACATTTACTATCCGAAAGTTTGCTAAACTGATTCGTAAGTTGATCGCTGCATGCCCAGCTATTAAATATGGTTGGCTTTTTACCAAAAATTGTCAAAGAGCAAAATTTTTGGCACTAAAAAGATAAGACATTTCAGGCAAAAATAATTTTCATAGTTGTGAAATCTTATTGCGGATAGATAACACCACAGCCATTTCATATATAAATAGAATGGGCGATATTCAGTTTCCATATCTTCAACAGCCTTGCAAGGCAAATTTGGCAGTAGTGCGAAGAGCGTAATTTATTTATCTTTGCGTCTTATATAAAATCTCAAGAGAACATTATTGCCGATCAGGAATATCGTCATCTAAATACTGAAACAGAGTTTTCACTAGCAGATTATGCGTTTAGGAAAATTTATCGTGAGCTAAGAGCACCTGAAATTGATTTATTTATTTATTTACTCGAAAGAGATTTTCTTCCTGGTTTAAAGATCCTGAAGCAGAGATAGTCGATTCGTTTACAGCATGATGGGCCGATTATGATTTCCCACCGTTTTTCTTGGTAGCCAACCTGCTACAGAAAATAATTACGGATGAAGCTGAAGTATGGAAATGGGCTGAAGCTATGGTGGGAGTTTTGTACCCAACGAAACTTAAAGTGTTTGTAATTAAATATCCAATCTATATTATGTTTCTTAGCATACTTGTGTAACCAAAGAATGTCATATAGCTCTTTGAATACAACACGCTCTGCCCTAGCGTTGATTATATCGCCACGAGTTGGCGATAATCACCAAACCCATTTTTTTTTCTCAAAGGTTTTTCCAAACTGCGACCACCTTTGCCTAAATATCACGTAACGTGGGACCCGCGCATAGTTTTAGGTTACCTAGAAACGTACTATCCTAATGAGACAATTAGTTTAGATATACTGAGACAAAAATTATCGATACTAATCGCCCTGGATATCGAAATATCGGACACAAAAATAGCAATAAAGGTCCCGGCCAAAGTTAAAACATCTGCCCCAAGCAGATACCAACCCTTATTAATATTATCATTTTTTTTCACAGTTACCCCAAAATATGTGCTGCAGGCACGCTTAAATGCTACTTGGATAAAATCAGTGTTTCAAGCCAGTCAGAAAAACTTGCTAAACTTTTTCTGACTTAGAAGAAACCTCACAAAGAAGCAACAGCTCAGTCTATTAGTCGCTGGATCCGCAAGCTGCTAGACAAAAGTCGGATCGACATTCGATCTTTACAGCACATAGTACTTGACACGCGGCCACATCAGCAGCTGTCAACAGGGATATTAACATCGATACGATACGTAATACAGCAGGGTGGACTGCTTCATCAGACCGTTAACCAAGTCCGAGGATTTTGCAGATGCAATTCTCAGACAATAATGGGGGCGAAGTTAGAGTTAGATTACACTTGTTATATTCAGAACAAGTTTTCGTACATGAAAATTAGTAATTCATAGAAATATTGGAGATTAAAGAATCTAGGAACTATGTTCCTCTTTCTTTTGTTCTCCCTGTAACTGTTGCAGTGTCAACATTGAACATCTACATAGTGATCTAGAGGAAGAGGCGGGAAGTATAACTATAAGATCAAACGAACTTACCTAAGTGATGTTTGATCTTAATTATACGACCGCCTCTTCCGAATAGATCACTCCCTCCCTCCCTGACCCGTGATCTATTCCGAGGCAACAGTTACTGCTTTAAAGATAATGAGTCGTTGATAGTCCGCAGCGGTGCAAGAGGGCTGCACAGGGCGGATCTTGTTTAGCTTTGGAATGCGTGACTCCACCTGGCGTCGAAGAGTGAACTACATAGTGATCTATTCGGAAGAGGCGGTCGTATAATTAAGATCAAACATCACTTAGGTAAGTTTGTTTAATCTTATAATTCTTCTTGTCTGCTCATTTTCAGGAAACAGCGTGTATCTGTTTTACAACAGATGCCTATAAACCTACATACAAAAGTAATTTAGTTTCACAGGTACTCAAGACTAGTAATGCATATTTGGAATTGTTTGGGTTAGTATCTCCTTAAGAGTACTGGATTTGAACCTTAAGTATTTAGTTAAGCATTTTTCTACGCTATCACTCCTTGAGCTGAACGATATTTGATTTGACAGCTTACCCAATCTTGCACCACACCATACTGCTTGCTTTTCGAGTCTTTCGTAACAGTCGCAACACTTCTTATTGTGTAGAAGTTACAGGCTATAATATAAATTTTCCATGCAATGTCTAAGAGATGCTTTATCATAAGTAATGTCATAAGGGCATCTAATTTTTCCGAAAAAATCGACAAAAACACCTTGCTAAGTAATATTTTAACAAGAAGCATGAGTGCTGGGGCAACAGAATTTCGAGTCGAAGACAAGGATTTTCGCACCGGCTCTAATGTTTTTTGTTGAAAAAATATTACTTTGCATTGTGTTTTTTCGATTTTTTTCACAGGAAACAATTGAATGACCGAATGGTATTTGACTAGACTATTTCATGAGTACCAGATTACTGGTGTCCTAGGAGACCATAATTACCTGTTATCGAAGGTATTGTAATTTTTGGCGACAACGGCAGTCAAGTTTTCATCTATAAACCATTTGTAATTCAAAATTGCAGCGTTTGTGATAAGTAGAAATTAAGTTGAGGGAAATAGTGGAATGAAATTGTACTTTTTTGTCTGGAACACCCTGTACATAGTGTAAGTGAGTGTTGCTCTTTTCTGATTCCAAGAATACAGCGCTACGAATTTCAAAAATTTCAGACTTCCACCTTTTCAACGATACGATGTAAGCAAGCACAAAATTCAAGTTTTAGACAAAATTAATATAAATAAATATCATAAACTATACAGGGTATCCGCAAAGTTAGGGTTTGCCTTTTCAAACACAACTACTCTTGATATAACAAAGCTAATTTGTAGTAAAAGGTGAGCGAACAAGTCAAAAAAATAAATAAAAAAATACTCACTATTCAGTTGAATTGAAATTCCAAGTACGGCTCTGTCGTAAAAACCGAGGAGCACATGTAACAAAAATAACAAAAAAAATCGAAAATATGACGTCGGTGTCACTTTTTCTTGGTGAACGTAAATACTGTTCGAAGTTTTTGTTGTTGGATTAAAAATACATGTGCATGCTCGACGTAGCCAAGACTCGGTGCAGGCTTTTAGAGTGGAGTCACTTCCCCGAATGAATGCAGCATCTTGTTCAATAATTATCAGACGTAATTCGTCAACCGTGAGTACTTCAGTTTTGTAGACCAAGCGTTTGATTTTGCCCCAAAGTGGTAAGTCTGGAGATCGCGGAGGCATTGCTATGGGTCCATTACGTCCGATCCACCTATTCGGAAATGATTCATTTAAAAACTCACGCACCCCGCGTCTAAAATGGGGCGGTGCACCGTCAAGGAGAAACGTTCTGCATACACTCGCGAAGCCTCGGTCGCATTTTGAAGACACTCACAGTAAATTAACAGCATGTCGACTAGTTCGCTATTGGTGTGTGAGTGTACCACTTTTTTTTATTATTTTTTAAACAGCCATCGTTTACCAATGTAATGGTTTGCTGACCTACACTACCGGCGTCTAGGTTAGGTTGCGTACTAGCGTATTTACACCGTAGTCGTATGTCGTATACCTATACGCTGGCGGATAGAGGGATCGGACCGGCTGTGATTTTGTTCAGCTTTGATTGAATTTGCGGTTCTCTTAAGACATTGCTGTATACTCGTATGCTATTAAGAAAGTCCGCTTATTTGCTCAAGATTTACACGACGTGTAAAGGAAAGCCCCAACTTTGTGGATATATGCTTGGAATCAGAAAAAATCGACTGTCACTTTCACTGCAAATATAAAGTGTATTTAAAAACTACAACTTCAGTCGGTAGCACTTTTCTGAAATACAAAAGAGACGTAATGTTTGTTATATTAGACAACTTTGTATAAAGCTTTTTCTAAACAAAAGTGTGCACCACGGATTTCAACTAAAGCATTTGTGCACGTTTTAATCATTATAGTCGCAGAAAAGAAATAATGTTTGTGTTGCATGCTAGACT